GGAATTCACGCAACTCAACAGCAAAAAAATAAATAAATAATCCAATTTTTAAAATTGGCAAAAGACCCAAATAGACATTTCTCAAAAGAAGACATACAATGACCAACACGTATATGAAAAAATTGCTCAACTGACCATCAGGGAAATGCAAATCAAAACAACAGTGAGATACCACTTCACTCCAGTTAGAATGGCTATTACCAAGAAGACAAAAGAAAACAAGTATTGGTGAGGATGTGGAGAAAAGGGAACGCTTGTACACTGTTGGTGGAAATGTAAATTAGTACAGCTATTATGGAAAACAATAGGGAGGTTCCTCAAAAACTTAAAAATAGAACTACCATTTGATCCAGCAATTCCACTACTGGAAAATACCCAAAGGAAATTAAGTCAGTATGTTGAAGAGATATTTGCACTCCTATGTTTATTGCAGCACAATTTACAACAGCCAAGATATAAAATCAACCTAAGTATCCAACAACAGATGAATGAATTTAATATATATATATATGGTATATATACACAATGGAATACTATTCAGCCATTAAAAAGAATGAAATCCTGTCATTTGTGGCAACATTGACATTACGTTATGTGAAGTAAGCCAGGTACAGAAAGACAAATACCACATGACCTCACTGATATGTGGAATATAAAAAAAAAAAGTTGGTGTTATAGAAGGAGAGAGTAGAACGGTGGTTACCAGAGACTCGGTAGGGGATAGGGGAGGGAAGACAGAGAGAGGTTGGCCAACAAGTACGAAATTACAATTAAATAGTAGGAATAAGTTCTGATATTCTATTGCACAGCAGGATGACTATGGTTAACAGTTAAGTTTTGTATATTACATAATAGCTAGAGGAGAGGCTTATGAATGTTTTTGCAACAATAAAATGATAAATCCATGAGGTGAGGTGATTGATACATTAACTACCCTAACCTGATTATTATACAACTTATATGTGTACCAAAACATCAGTTTGTACTCCATACATATGTTTAATTACAATGTGTCAACTGAAATTTTTAAAAAAATAGTCTACCAAGTATTAAAAGAAGGCATTTATTTTCTTTTATTTTTTTCATTCTG